TATAGTTAATATTTTTCTCTTTTTAATATGTCTAACAATCTATTTGTTCACTTTGAAATTTCTTTCTTTTTTAGTTTAGATCGGATTTTGATAGATCACGTGCTTTTAATTATTGAAATTATTGATCGCAGTAATCAAAGTTTAAAATATTTTTAAGTGAATCCTTGACTTATTTTTAAAACTTGATCACAAAATTTTGAAAAAACATTTAATATTATATAAATATTCTTAATTTATAAACAGATCAATAATAGTAAAAAAAAAACGCGCCATCTGTATTTTTACAACGCAAACGAAGATAATAACACGCGTCTACATGTGCCAATTGCGTCAGGAAAAACTAAGAAAAATATGTTTCATATTTTTGGTTTCATAACATATTTTTATTTCCGCAAAAGAGACAACAAGACATTTGAACTATCCTTTAAAGTTTCATGATTTTCTGCGAGATAATTGGATTTATGCACAAGAAGTCGAATCCTTGGTGAATTATAAATGGTGTGAATTACAAATAATGAATTATAAATAGTGAATTAATATTATTACAATATGATGACGATTTTAATTTTAGTTAATATATATATAATATACATATATAACAGTGGATTAAATTATTAAATAATAATAATAATAATAATAATAATATGAATTCGCGTGTTGTATTCTATTTGAGGGTTCATTGGCTTACAAAGAGATGCCAAACCTAGAATTTTGAAACGCGTTTATAGGGAGGGGTTAAATAGTTTTATTGTTTGCTTTATTTATACGCATAATTGTTATAATATTTTTCTTTTAGCGTGAATGTTTTTTCGTAAATGCAATTAATTTATTCTTTTCTCCGAATGGTTTTTGCTAAAAGTTCAAGCTTTCAATGTTACACGAATAATCAATATATACAAAAGTTTTCAAAAGTCAGTATACGTAATAGTCGTATAATAGTCTTATATAGTATATAGTTATATGTATATAGTCATATGTATATATACGCGTATAATTATAGTAATCGATCATATGTTCTCTTTAAAGACCTAATTAATAATCATTGTTTTTTTGCATTTATTTATTTATCAGGGTCCATTTTGTATAAATTTTATTTAATTTTTCGTGATTCATAGATTGTCGTAGTTTTGTGGTAGATCATTAGAAATTATAGAAATTATAATAATTAAAGTTATGTATATACTAAATAATTATACATATAACTTACATATAAACGCGTAAACAAAATAATAACAAAATAATAATTGGATACGAAAAATATAAAATTATTTTTTATTTGATAAATAAATAAATATTTAGGTTATATGTATGTAATAAATTTTTATAGGTTATATACCACGAAATAATAATATATTATACATATAACAAACCTTTTTTTTTGTAAAAACATAGGCACATTTACATGCAATTATGCATTTGAAATTCTATTAGAATTCTAATACGTTGAAATGTTATTATTAAATGATGATTATTAAATGATGATTATTAAATGATTATTAAATGAGAGTATTAAATGAGAGTATTAAATGAGAGTATTAAATGAAATGAGAGTATTAAATGAGAGTATTAAGTGTATATTAAGTGTATATTAAGTGTATATTAAGTGTATATTAAGAGTGTACGAATGAGTATTAAGTGTATATTAAGCGTATATTAAGAGTGTACGTATTAGATTTATTAGATTTATTTAGATTTATTAGATTTATTAAATTTATTAAATTTATTAAATTTATTAAATGTGTATTAAGTGACCATTTTTTGTTACGTATTAAATGAAAACATTAAGTGAAGCAAATAGTAATAATTTAGTACGTAGTCATTGATGATGGAGAATCCTTTTTAAATATCTTATATCTTACATGTAGTTAAGGTTCTCTAAGAATCTATCAATACTAGTGATTTAGAAAATAAATTCGGACAAACGAGTAAAAAAAAAATGTAGTGGAATGTCGTAAAATTCATAATATAAAAAATTAAGGTTAATGAAACTGTAGGGGTACACGAACATTGTTTGAGAAGCACAGTAAAAAGGATTCCCAGGGCCGTACGACCGTTCCAAATGGATCACCTAATTAATTTCGCAATTATTGTAAATTTTATTGTTGATAATTGTATTGATTCTAATGAATCTATAATGAATCTAAAAGTTTGATGTAATCAAACATCTATCAAAAAAAATCTCTACATACGTATAGTACATAATATACGTACGTACGTACGTACAGTACGTAAAACACTTGGAACAATTATTACTATTATTCAACTATTATTCAACTATTACGTATGTATTATTCAAAATAAAAATGAGTCAAAATAATAAGTTATTTTTAAATAAAAAAAAAACATAATCTTTGTTTTTAAAACTCAACCATCATCATCAAAAATTTTAAAAATATCAAACTAAACAAAAACATCTAAATTGATATTCTTTTGTTTTTTAGCGTACAATGACTCATTCAAAAAAATATAGATATATATGTGAATCTTTAAAAGTAGATCCTTAGTTTCATTGTTATCGTTCATTATACAAGTACTATACAAGTACTATACAAGTTATTCATTATTATGTGTTACTGTTTCAGAAATTTCAATAAATTTCAAAAAAATATTCATTACATGAAATTACATGGGTTAATAAAATAGTAATAATTTACCGGTTACATAAACACGTGTCGATCAATAAATTGTTCGAAAACTTTTAAGGGTGAACAGATGGAGCACGAGTGCATCGCCATTTTTGTTAATAGCCTCGAGGTAATTGAAAAAAGAAACGTGTGCATTCATAAACAATAAACTTTAGTATTTAGATTTGATTTACATAAATGCATTAATTACTTACCTAAGTAATGTTTGAAGAGGAATGTGTTTCAACATTATAACAAAGACATGGTTTACGCCAAAGTTTTGTTGAAGTTTAGTCATAAACTAAAAAAGAAAAAAAATTTTAAAGTTTATTATAGAAGGTAAAGAAAGTAATGCGATTCAAAAAAATCAAACATGTTAAACATGTTACGTAAAAGGATCTGGAAGCATAATACATATTTAATAATATAATTGATATTCAAAATCTATATATAAATTTTTTTTTTTCTTGGAAATTCTCGGAAAATATAATCCTAGAAAAATTATGCATTATATGAATGAATTCAGTACGAATTCAAAAAGGAGAATTTCATTTGATTCAAAAGAATACGATATTATACTATAAACGGTTGTATTAAACTTTTTTTTTTACAAGGAAAATGTTTCAGAATGATTTTAAATGGGAAACGTGGCACTGAAATCATTCCCACCACGTTTTTTGCGTTTTTTTGCGTTCTTTGCGTTCTTTGTACCGGGAGTTACGGCAAGTTAACTTTACATTTTAGGTAGATATCTATAATCTATAATACTGTAATATTGTAATATTGTAATATATAGATTAATATATAGATTAATAGTATATAGATAGATATACGATGAACTTCACTTACAGTCTAACAAGTCTAACAAGTTAACAAGTCTAACAGAGATCGTCATTGTAATGCTGTAATGTGTAAATATTTTTTTGTTTCATGTTTTTCTCATTGTGTAAGTTATTTCAAGGGTACGTACCCAAATATGATGCCATAATGCCATAGGCTGATTACTCATGTACCCATATTTACTTTTTATAAAAATACTTTACAAGTTAATTAGGCATTTAACGTTTAAAAAAGTACGGTTACAATATGTACGTTAATACCCTTCTAAATTTTCGTAAATATTTAATGCTTTAATTAGTATTTTAGTACTTTAATTAGTGCTTTAAATTATACCTCTAAATTTTTATTCTAAATTGTATCTCTAAGGTGTGTCTTATAGCCTAACTTGAAATCCTTTAATAATTTCTTTTTTTAATATTGCAACATACATATATCTGTATATGGTTATCTCTATCAATTATTTTAGGTATTGAAAGTCCCTTTTTTTTTCATACATTTTTTCATACATACATTAACAAAGAACCAATCCTAATCAATTCTTTAAAAGTCTTTTAAAAAAAACTGACGACATTGTAATTCCACTAAATATTTTTAAATATTTACAATATATTTTACTTTATTTACTTTTATTTACGTTATTTATGTTATTTACCTGGTTGACAATATATAATATTTTTTTACAAATAATTATATGCATTTTTTCAGGGGAGGTTAAACGTTAACAAGCCACAGTCTGTACAACAATTCTTAACTGTCACTGTGTGTTACCGTGGCAATATTGTTTATTCACAATTACTTATATGCGCAATTATTAAAATAATATATTCCGAATCCGAATATATTATCTTTCTTTTACAACACATTTTACATAAAATCTTTTTTGGAAAACAAGGGGGATGTTTTTATACAGTAATAATAATATAAAAAAATAAAAATCAATTACTATATTTACTATATAATTTAATAATATCGATATTGTGTGTGATTTAAATTTATGTGATAAATATTATTATACTTTTCGCGTTGTTGTTTTTTTTTTATATAAGGACCCCTTCGTCGCAGGAAAATCAATCTGAACCGTACTCGAAATACTTATCAATTGTAAAAAAAAAAAAAAAAACCTTTTCTTCTCTTGAAAACCTATTTTATATATAATTATTTCTCAGAATTTCTCAGAACAATTTCGATAAAAAAAAAATTATCAAAAAACTCAACAATTTTTTCAGATATGTCTACTTTAGCGACATCTGCCATCGATGCTGGGCATCTTTCTTCATATAACGGAAATGTTTCAGAGAGTTCTCGAAGACTAACTTTACAAGATTTATTACAAACTGAACCAGGACAAAGATCTGAAAGTCGTTATGCTTCGCCAGTTGGTTGTAGTAGAACACCTTCTCCTACTGAACCTACAAGTTCTACAATGATGCACTATAATAATTGTCATACAAGTCCCCCGTTGGGATCTCATCATATTAATAGATACACTCCTCCTCAACTTCCTCCAATTTCACAACAACAACAATGTTTGAGAGTTTCTCCTTTATATAAACCTCCAAATCCTGTTGTAAATTCGGCTATAAATTCTGCTATGGATGTCGATTCTTATAAAATTACATTACCTACTCCTTTAACATCTCCTAATCCAGGTCCAACAATGCCAAGAGTAGTTCAATCACTTCATGGTTATCCATCAACTCCTTCTTCACCTACACCGATTACACCACTTCAATTAGATGATCAAAATTCTTATATGAAAACTTTATCAACATCTGGTACTACTCCACTTTCGCTTTGTGAACGTCGCGAAAGGAATAAAGTTGCATCTGCTAAATATCGCGCAAAAAAACATAAACAAAATCAAGAAATGAGTTCACAAATTAATGAATTAATTGCTGAAAATAATGTATTAACAAGACAATTAGAAGAAATAAGATCTGAAAATAATGAATTAAAAGAATTAGTTGATAAACTTAAAAGTAAATTAGTTGAAGGAAAAATATTAAAAAGATTAGGACGTGGTGGAGCGAAATTAGCCGCTGCAGCTGCAGTAACTAATAATATTGGAACTACTGATGGTCTTACATCTATTACTAATGTAAAAAAGGGTACAAGACGAAATGGATATAGTGGACACGCCAAGGGAACCGAAGCTACACCAAAAAATTCTAGGAAATAAAAAAAAAAAAAAAAAATCATGAATAAAATCAAGAATAATATAAAGAAATCATTACCTTAAGCATTTAACCCGTCAAACAAAACACAACATTTCACATTTCATCATTTTTTTTTTCACATAAATAGCATTTAAAATACATTTATAGATAGAGAATTTGTAAAATATTATTTTTGTATGGCGCCTTTTTTTTTTTTTTTTTTTCTACACACACGTTACAGTATGTATGACACAAGGATGGGTTACTATATAGATAAATCATTTATACACATTCCTTATTTGTACCTATTCAAATTTAGAACCTTTTTACATATACAGTATATATACATTTTTCTTTTTTTTTTTTTTTTTTGTAAATTATTTGGTCAAAGATACTTTATTTTGGTTACAAGTTGTATTGTACCTCTCTTTATTGTATCTATATTGTAATAAACCTTTTTAAATATTTTGAACATAAAACTTATTATTATCAGTTATTATCTTATTATCAGTTATTATCTTATTATCAGTTATTATCTTATTATCAGTTATTATCTTATTATCAGTTATTATCTTATTATCAGTTATTATTATTATTATTATTATTAATTATAATAATAATAATAATAATATATAGTTATTGGGCGCGTAGCGACCAATAACTATATATTATTGGTCGCTACGCGCCCAATAACTATATATTATTGTTATTATTAATTGCAGTAATTGATATTATTATAATGGGAATCCTAACAAACTCATCAAGTTTTTCCTCGGCATCAGTAGTGATAAGAGGAGATGACCGATAAAAATATATTATGTACATACCAGATACTACATACGTACAGTTACGTATAGACAAGTGTAATTGTTATTCCCAAACATGCATTTAAAACATTCCGAGGAATCACAATAAAAAACAAAAGTATAATCGTTTCTTAAAAGTAGTAAAATTAAAGATACGTTAATCGTTTATCAAAAGTAGTAAAATTAAAGATATGTAAAACCTTTTCGTAGAAGGAATGACATCATTTAACATCAGTGTGTTGGCTATAATAAATGTGTTACCATAACCATGACAATGCATACAAAAAAAAAAAATCTGCATAATTGTTATTTTTTAAAAAAAAAAAATTATACCTAAATATTATGATATTTTTTTTCGAAAATCATCTGATTTTCATACAGCCCAATGAATTTTTAACTATATACATGAATGATGTTATAATTAAAAATAATGTCGTCTTTTTTTTTGTACTTTGAGTAACACTTAAATAAGGCCTAGAACATTCTGTTTATGGTAACAAACATCCGAAAATAAAATAAATTTTATTGGATAGTAATTGAAAAGTTTACTATTTGAAGTGACTATTTAACCAAATAATTCCTTACCTAATGATTCACAATCTAGGAAATATCCAAAAACGATATTTTTTTTGAAACTTACACTTTTAGAATAATCTATTTTTAGCATGTACGTACCTGTGGTACTATAGTGTTAGATATGTTACGTACTGCACTTTATCAGGTATTTTCTATTTTCAAAATACTAGCGCTAGTTTATAGTAATCAGTTTTAAAATAATCAGGTTTTTGCTTGATTCAGAATGGTTTTATATGCAATAGATCTTTATTTTTGAAATTCATTAAATTACAATTGAAAAATTACAGTAACTATCGTTATATAATAAAAAAAAATAAGTAGCAACATTATTCATTGAAAATAACTGCATCTATATAAATTTGTATGTAGGTTAATTATAAACAGGTTTATGGCTTATCAAGTTTCATAAGGAGTCACAATACCGAAATATTGAAAATATTGAAAATACTGGGGTTTACTAAACTTATAATTTGCAGATCTTTGATTATCGTGATATCGTGACGAGGAAACAAATTTTGATTGAGTAGTTAATTAAATGTGTGTCATTAATTATAATAAACTACCGTTGACAATTTAAGAGAACAGGGATAAGCATTATAAATTTCAAGTAATTCCAAGTACTTTTTAAATTAAATAGTATAATATATAAATTAACTATTTTAGTTTAACAAGTGTATTTATTTTTTACATTTAAAATCAATCACGTCATTGGAAACTACATCTCATTTTATGTCGTTGTCAAAGAATTACTAACTTATTTAATCTTACAATTAAAATCTGTTTTGAGGGATTTATAGTATGCTACTTGTGATAGAATGCATTATGGTTTTTCGGTATATCATTCCGAAGTGCTAATTAAGATAATAAATTCTAGCATTAAATCTGTACCGTTTCTTTATAATATGACTAACATAGTTAATACATACTTAATACATGGTTAATACATAGTTAATACAATACATGAACCATAAATAAAAGTAAGCTTATTTATGACTTTAACGTTATACAGTGTCAAAAAGGATTTTTTTATTTTTTTTATTTTTTTTTATTATTATTATGACATTCTATGCATCGTCACACTCGCACAAGTTTAAAGACAAAGATGAATAAGGTATAGAGATCAACCATTTTAAAAGTACATGAATAGAGATATTCTTATAGAAGGTCTTTGTTTCTTATGTTTCATAATGATTGATTATTAAGTAATCCGATCATTAATCGTAACTTGACAAAGGAAATTATCGCGTCTTTATGTCTTTGACAATAATAAATGCAAAAAAAAAAATCCGATTTTTGATAATATGAAACACGAGTTTCAGTCGGAGTTATAGCTCCTAATATTGTGTCATATTTTATAAAATATTGCTTACTGTATAATGAATTACTAATTTTGATTTATTCATCATACAGTAAAAATCTATATCATAATTAAATTAGAGCATATAATTGAATTAATTAATTAATTGAATTAATTAATTGAAATTGGAATCTAATTGAAGCATAATTGAAATTTTAACATAATCGAAATAATTTTTTAATTCTGTCGCCATACATGTTATGTTGGCTTGAGCGTTTAATACATATATCATTAAGTGTATACATTAAGTGTATACAGTAATTTAGTGACTTTTTTTTGATCACAAGGATATAAATTTCAAATTTAGGTATATAATATCTTTTGTTACCTAATATCCATTATTTCTTTATTAAACTTACTGTACGTATGTATGTGTGTAAACATATGCGTATGATGTGTATGATGTATATATATGATGTGAGATCTGAGAAAATTAAAGCTCTACTCCATTGCAACTTGTTACAACTCATTACATTACAATTTATAGCAACTCATTACAGCATTACAACTGATAGCAACTCATTACATTACAATTTATAGCAAATCATTACAACATTACAACTGATAACAACTCATTACAACATTACAACTGATAACAACTCATTACAACATTACAACTGATAACAACTCATTACAACATTACAACTGATAACAACTCGTTACAATTACAACTGATAACAACTCATTACAAATTACAACTTATAGCAACTCATTGTAATTTATTGTAATCCATTGTAATCCATTGTAACTCATTAATTGTTAAAATGTAACCATTAAATTTTTCGACGCGATTTTTATATTTGGTTTTCCTTTTGTTTCAATTATACATATTATGTAATATCTTTTCGATGATAAGCTTTTATGATATTCTTTATAAAGTTAATTACAAACCCTGATTAGAATAATGTATTAATCTTATTGGATGATACATCGGTAAAACAAAGGAGTAGAACAAAGGATCACCATATGACCTCAAAATGTTACCATCCAATTTTATTTTTTTGAATAATATCGGAAATTCTTTTGTTCTCGTTTTTATTGGCATTGTTTAACAAAGGATTCTTTTTTCATATATAAACCCAAAATAGGTTCATAAATCTAAATTAGTATCATTTAAAAGTTGACATCACTTTAATCTAATACAACATTGTTCTTACTTGTCTTTTTATTCAAAAAAAAAATTTGGTTGTACGTAACTTTCTTTGAGCTTAACCTTTGTTATCAATAGTTTCAATAGTTATCAATAATAAATATGACTTCATTTATGTAAATGAAAAGACAAAGAATCATGCAAGAGAATCTCAGAACGTGTAAACTTTAAAAAAATCATTACTCAAGATACAAACAAGAATTGTGGCAGTTTAAAGTAATCGTAAATAAAGGCTAATTCCATAAATTATTCAAGTAATTGACATGTGCCTCAAATGGCATATCTTTTCATTTAATTTAACCTATAAACAAGGTATTCTTAACTTATAATGAATTTAAAGGAGGCGCAATATACAAGGATTTACATTATAGTTTTTATATCCACCTACTTTATTCATCGAATTCTTCTTTACTTTATATGTCGAAAAAAAAAAAAATTGAACCTAATTTATAAATTAAGTAATCCCTAGTATATCTAGTATAAGATAAACAAAAATGCAATGCAAGATCTTAGAACCGAAATTTGTATTACTGATATTAACTAAATAAGAAATGTAAACAATGGTAATCAAGATCGTCAACCGTTACCCGAAAATTCGGGTTTCGGTCCAGGGTTTTATAATATTACAAGGGTTATTAACATTAATTCAAATCTACAGTGGCGTCGTTAAAAATTAATTCACTTGACCAGATTTAAATATTTTATATAAAATATTATCTATAACGATAGGTGGGAAAAAAAAATTTTTAAATAGTTCAAGGGTTTAACTTGAAACACTAATGAAACATTTAACTCCTTAAACGGCGTTTGGTTTCATATAAGATGTAATGCACATCACCATCTTAAGAATTTAAAAAAGAAAAAAAAAAAAGTAAGCCCCAAAGAAAAAAGAAAATAAAGATTTAAATAATATATATATATTAAAAAATTAATTCAATTCTCCCGCCATAATGTGTACGTCATCAATAATACAAGTGATAATCTAAAAAAGAATGTGATAAAAAATGCCAAGAGCTGTCATGATGTATCATACTGTTTTTACAGTTTTAAATAAATATAAATATATACATTTTTTTTCATAAAATTGTTAATTGTAAACATTTACAATTCCTTTTACGATGAATCCCGGAGGCTTAAACTCCAACTCTTTTCTTATTTTTATTATTTTTATTATTTACTTGTGGTTATCAAACTTTCATTCCTTTGGACCCTTACTTGGACAAGATAAACCATTTGAATTTGAATTTCAAAAAGGGGTATACAATAATATCACCAAAAA